TAGACTGCCTCATTCAAGTGACCATGGATGCTGGCTGCCACAGGACGCAGCTGGGACACAGCCACACCCGACAATGCCACAACGCAGCCTGTGCACACTCCCTCCGGCACACGGATGGTGGGCCAGTGGCTCTGCTCACCAGGATTCCACGGGGAGGTGGGGCCAGCCTCAGCACCTGCACCCATCAGAGAGGGAGCGTAAGCTCAACCAGAGAAGCCGTGAGACAAGGTAACAGCCACAGCTCATGGGATGACGACAGGTGATCCGATGAGGGGTCTTGGCTCACGGTACCACTAGACACAGAAACACTGGTCCTGTCCGAGACCCTGCTTCCCTGAGTCGCTGCCCCCTTGAGGGATCTCCACTCTGCCCAGACTCGGGGCTTCCCACAGGCAGCAGGAGCGAGCCGAGCACTACTTGCCCTGTGCACGAACACAGAGACAGCAAGAGGCAGGGAGGAAGCCCGGAAAAGCAGGAACCAAGCACATCCAGGGTTAGTGTGGCGTCACATGCCACACACCCTCGGCCACCCGGAGCAGCGAGCATCCTTGTGGGCACAGGGAAGACAGGAAGTGTAGCCCAGATGCAAGGCTCACAGGGCCCCAGAGGACCATACTTCCGCAGCGTTCAGTGAAGCCACGCTGTGAAATCGTGAATTCCATCCCACACAAAGTAAGACCGAAGCAGCTTTCTGGTTGCCTGGACACACGGTGCTGCCTCACTAGCCCAGCTCCATGAGCTACATGCAGAGCCCAAAGCACACAGCCAACTACTAGCCTCCCTTCCAGTTGAGTGTGACTGGAGGTGAGGGAGAGCAGATCTGGGGCACACAGAGGAACACAGCATGGTGGACACACACCCTGAGCTGGGACGCACGGGGTGAGTTCACACACCCTGCGCCGGGACCACAGCCTGGGCTCACACGCACACCCTGAGCCGGGACTCACGCCCTGGGCTCACAGGCACACCCTGAGCCACCACCGCCTGGGGTCACATGCACACCCTGAGCCAGGACCACAGCCTGGGCTCACACGCACACCCTGAGCCAGGACACAGCCTGGGCTCACATGCACACCCTGAGCCGGGACCACAGCCTGGGCTCACACGCACACCCTAGGCCAGGACACAGCCTGGGCTCACACGCACACCCTGAGCCAGGACCACAGCCTGGGCTCACAGGCACACCCTGAGCCACCACAGCCTGGGCTCACACGCACACCCTGAGCCAGGACCACAGCCTGGGCTCACAGGCACACCCTGAGCCAGGACCACAGCCTGGGCTCACACGCATACCCTGAGCCAGGACTCACGGCCTGGGCTCACACGCACACCCTGAGCCAGGACCACAGCCTGGGCTCACAGGCACACCCTGAGCCGGGACTCACGCCCTGGGCTCACAGGCACACCCTGAGCCGGGACTCACGCCCTGGGCTCACAGGCACACCCTGAGCCAGGACCACAGCCTGGGCTCACACGCACACCCTGAGCCAGGACCACAGCCTGGGCTCACACGCACACCCTGAGCCAGGACCACAGCCTGGGCTCACACGCACACCCTGAGCCGGGACTCACGCCCTGGGCTCACAGGCACACCCTGAGCCAGGACTCACGCCCTGGGCTCACAGGCACACCCTGAGCCGGGACCACAGCCTGGGCTCACATGCACACCGTGACCCGGGACCACAGCCTGGGCTCACACGCACACCCTGAACCGGGACCACAGTCTGGGCTCACACGCACACCGTGAGCCAGGACCACAGCCTGGGTTCACGCACACCCTGAGCCGGGACTCACCCCTGGGCTCACACGCACACCCTGAGCCAGGACTCACAGCCTGGGCTCACACGCACACCCTGAGCCAGGACTCACCCCCTGGGCTCACCCGCACTCCCTGAGCCGGGACTCACGCCCTGGGCTCACAGGCACACCCTGAGCCGGGACTCACGCCCTGGGCTCACCCGCACACCCTGAGCTGGGACTCACGCCCTGGGCTTACAGGCACACCCTGAGCCGGGACTCACGCCCTGGGTTCACGCACACCCTGGGCCAGGACTCACGCCCTGGGCTCACACGCACACCCTGAGCCAGGACTCACGCCCTGGGCTCACACGCACACCCTGAGCCAGGACTCACGCCCTGGGCTCACAGGCACACCCTGAGCCAGGACTCACGGCCTGGGGTCACACGCACACCCTGAGCCAGGACCACAGCCTGGGTTCACGCACACCCTGAGCCGGGACTGACGCCCTGGGGTCACAGGCACACCCTGAGCCAGGACCACAGCCTGGGCTCACACGCATACCCTGAGCCAGGACTCACGGCCTGGGCTCACATGCACACCCTGAGCCAGGACCACAGCCTGGGCTCACAGGCACACCCTGAGCCGGGACTCACGCCCTGGGCTCACAGGCACACCCTGAGCCGGGACTGACGCCCTGGGGTCACAGGCACACCCTGAGCCAGGACCACAGCCTGGGCTCACACGCACACCCTGAGCCAGGACCACAGCCTGGGCTCACACGCACACCCTGAGCCAGGACCACAGCCTGGGCTCACACGCACACCCTGAGCCGGGACTCACGCCCTGGGCTCACAGGCACACCCTGAGCCAGGACTCACGCCCTGGGCTCACAGGCACACCCTGAGCCGGGACCACAGCCTGGGCTCACATGCACACCGTGACCCGGGACCACAGCCTGGGCTCACACGCACACCCTGAACCGGGACCACAGTCTGGGCTCACACGCACACCGTGAGCCAGGACCACAGCCTGGGTTCACGCACACCCTGAGCCGGGACTCACCCCTGGGCTCACACGCACACCCTGAGCCAGGACTCACAGCCTGGGCTCACACGCACACCCTGAGCCAGGACTCACCCCCTGGGCTCACCCGCACTCCCTGAGCCGGGACTCACGCCCTGGGCTCACAGGCACACCCTGAGCCGGGACTCACGCCCTGGGCTCACCCGCACACCCTGAGCTGGGACTCACGCCCTGGGCTTACAGGCACACCCTGAGCCGGGACTCACGCCCTGGGTTCACGCACACCCTGGGCCAGGACTCACGCCCTGGGCTCACACGCACACCCTGAGCCAGGACTCACAGCCTGGGCTCACAGGCACACCCTGAGCTGGGACTCACGCCCTGGGCTCACAGGCACACCCTGGGCCCTGCAGGCCCCACAGCATCCAGACCTTACTGACTCGCCGGGCCTATCCAGAGTGCTGTGAAGTCTGCTCCTTACAAGGAAGGCGAGCCTCCAAACCTAACACTGAGGCTGCGAAGCTTCTGCGGGAAAAGAAGCTACTAATTCTGGGGTCACTATAAATACTACATACACTTTTATAACCAGAAGCAACATTTAATTAATGAAGACCAGCCTGACCAAACTTAAGGGACAGGTGTTATAGGAGGGAGTACGTTAAAGAACCAAGTCAAGAGCGTGTGAGCACTTGCAAACAACTAAGTCACAGGAAATGGGTTCTGCACATCTCACCGCAGACCCGCAGAGCGTGTAAAGTTACCGCCCCACGGCTCCGGCTCACTCGCCCGGCCAAGGCTCCCCGATTCCCCTCCGAGGGGCCGTCTCGGAGTGGACGGTGAGCACTCACCAGGGAGATCCCTCCGTGGCACTGGTCCAGCACCAGGGGACACGGCGTGATGGACGCCCCTGGGCAGCACGACGTGTGCAGTGAGAGGCTCAGGCGAATGCTCGCGGAGCAGAGATACGAGCCCGAGGAAGGCGGCGGTGGCCTGTGGGGACGCCCCAGGTGCACGGAGCTGCGCTAAGCACCCTGTCCCGAGACACAGCCACCATCCGGGTGAGCACCCTGTCCCCTGAGACACAGCCACCATCCGGGTGAGCACCCTGTCTCCTGAGACACAGCCACCATTGGGCTGACGGGGCGGGGGCTCCAAGGCCCCTCCAAACCAGCCCTACTGGCACCTGCTGCAGGCCCTGCAGGACTCGCCCCAAGGGGCAGGAGCTCCAGTGGGCTACGCAGGCCCACTGTGTGGAGGCTGAAGGAGTCAGAGTCGGGCGGGCACAGGATGACCGTGGCGGCCTCCACGTCTTCCCGAAGCTCTGGCAGGGGAGCTGCTCTGAACGTCCTCCCATGGAGAGAGGAGGGCCCCAGGCCTCAGTGCTCTGAGACTTCACTACCTGCAAGCAGTAAGAGCCCCCAGGTGCCAGCGTCCAGGACCAGGCAGAACCGGCCAGACTGGTTCTGTGGCATTCTGGTGTCACAGCCCTGCCCCTCACTGGGCAACCCCAGGTAAGGCTTCCTACACAGCAGGGAACCAGGACTGGTGGGAGGCCAGCGACATGCCCAGCACACTCAGTTTCTCCTTAGGTTTGCCTGACAGCCACGGGGGAGGTGCTATTATCCCGCTGTCAGGATCAGTGACTGTCAGACAGAAGGGGCCGGGACCCTAATCCAGGCCTGCCTGCCGGAGCTGCCAAGACACGCTGCCTGAGGCCCAGCCTGCAGATTCAGACCCACTGTGCCGAACGCAGGGAAGGACAGACTCACTGAGGCCACGCATGGTGGAGCCGCCGTCAAAGCGGCTGAGCAGAGACTGCCGCATGTCCGTGTTCAGCAGCCAGGCTGAAGCTGGGGTAGCAGGGCGGACGGAGAGGCAGCACAGCCCCCTGGAGAGCAACCGCAAAGCAGCCTGTGACGAGAAGGCAGCCCGGTTCCCGGCGAGAGCTTTCACCTGCCAGCGGCCTTGCACCTGCAGCGCGGAGGCCTCCGTGGGGGCATGAGTGGGAGGTGCCCAGGGCCTGACCAGCAGTGCCCCTCAGGACGACCACACCGGGAGCCTCAGAGCCAGTTCTCACCCTTCCCATATTCCCCCGCCCTTAATAGCCGCTGGCTGGCCTGGCTCAGCCTCAGCCGTTCCCCAAGGCTGGAGCGGCATTTGGTCCCCACCTGCCCTCAAGGTCCCAGGGACGAGGAGCGGGGAGGACCCCAAGAGGGAGCAGTCCCCAGCCACTGACCTGAGCACCAGAGGACACGGGCAGCAGGCCCCGCAGGCGGTGGCTGGCTGGGCAGGTCTCCGGATCACAGCGGGAGGGGAAGCGGGGACTTACAGCCCTCACAGCAGCAGGACCTCAGTCCAAAGATCCAAGTCCACGGGCGTGGGGGAGACAGCACAGGGCAGACAACCCAGCAGAGGCGCCGAGAGGCTGCTGAGCCCTGGCGTGGCCGCGATGGCCGGGCCTCACTCTGCAGGGCAGCGGCAGCGTCTGGCCCCTGTGACCTCCCTCCCGCCCATGCTCGGGTCTCTAGGATGACCTCAAAGTCCACCGCAAGTCCCTGTGTCATTCAGGGTGCTGTCGCTGCCCATGCCCGAGGAAGGGGCTTTTCCTCCTCCTTCCAGGAAGGCAAATGAGGGGGTCACGTGGGACAGGGGCTCCAGAGCCCTGGCTGGAAGGGATCTACATGACACATACAGGGGCCCATAGTACAGTGCCGGGCGCACCCAGCGTGCAGAGAACATTCCTCTGCCGGCCTGGACTCTGAGCCGACAGCGCCTTCCTCCCTTCCCCGTCTGCAGGAACCTTGGGTAGCAGGTGCGCACAGGTGAGCGTCTCCTCACAGGCGCTCCCGCCTGCCTGCCTCCCTGGGAGGGGAGAAGTGCTGACCGCAGAAGCTCCACCTTGCTCTGGGTGGGGCAATACACATGCAAACTATTTGATCTTTATGACCACACACAGCAGGCCATCCCAATTCCCTTCTGCAGGTAGAGCAGAGTGCTGAGATCGGGTTCCCCAGAAAACAGGGTGAGTGGAGGTGCCCGCCTGCAGCAGGGGGCGCCCTCCTGGGCAGCAGGAGCAGTGGCAGAGAGAGGCGGGCCCTGTGCTGGCTGCAGCGGCTGCGTTTCCAGGGACCCACGCTGGGACTTGCGGGCTACACTGCATCCCACAGAGACCCCAGGCAAGGGGACGGCTCAGAAGGCTCCTGGCCTGCCTCTTCCGGCCCGAACGCCACGTGCTGCAGTCGGGGTGGTGCTCAGGGGCACTGGCCACACGTGCGGGGCGTCCCCTGCTCTGCTCATGGCTTCTCCCGGTAAGCAGGGGCGGCCTCAGCTTCAGGGGCCAGGGCTCCGCCATCTCGGGGATTGCCCGTGGTTTGGGCAGGGCAGAGCCGGCAGAGGAAGCTGCTTGCCATCCTTTCTTCACCAACCTCTGTTGCGCGCGCGCTCCGGGGTTCAGGCAGAAAGCGGTGCTCTGGGCTGCGCCCACGCTCCCGGCACTGCAGCCCTGCCCACGAGACGGCGAGCGGGGCCTGGCCGGGACAAGGCAGGAAAACCCACTGCACCTCCCCTGCGGCTGAACTGCACCACATCGGCAAATTCAGAGAATGCGGAGGTGGCAGAAAGTCCCCGAAGGACACGCGTCCTCCTGAAGCCCACCTACGGGCCCTCCGGGCAGGACCCGGGCACCGAGCACCGGGCTGTGTGTCCCGCAGCCGACCGTGGCACCTGTCGGCCTGGCTGCAGCAAAACAAACTCCCCCTAGTCGCAGGGGAGGGGCCCACTCAGGAAAGGTTCTTTGTGCTGCCCCAGCTTAGCTGACTGGGGCGGGGGCAGGTCTGGGAGGGGCACACAGCAGCCAGGCTAGGCGGGGGTGATGGGGGTTCCCCCGAGCCGCAGGCTCAGGGGCCAGCCCTGGATTTCCTCACTCAGGCTCTCATCCCGCCTTCCCTGCGTGCCTCCTGCCGCCAGCCGGAAGAGAGGGTGGGGGGGGAGGGGGAACTGGGGCCCAAGAGCAGAACCTGCTGACACCTGAACCTTTCGAGAGGCCAGTGCTTCTCACCGAGCACAGGGCACTGCGGATGCGACCGTCCTGCGAAAGGCAGCACACCTTCCCCCACCGAGTGACAGCTGTCAGGTCTGATCCGGGACCACAGTTCCACAGCAGAGCATGTCCAGAGCACACAAGGGTGCCACAGGGGAAAGGCGACAGACAGGGACGCCACACAGAGGGCAGTCGGGGCACCAACGCCTCCGTACCACGGACGGCAAGGCACAGCCGCTCACTGTGGAAGACTGTATCAACTTATAACACGCACACACTGGCAGACGGCCACTTGGTGCCGTGGTTAAGATGCCACTAGAGACACACATCCCACACTGGGGAGAGCCTGGCCCAAGTGCTGGCTCTGCGTCCTGCTAGCATGCACCCTGGGAGGCAGCAGATGGCCCCAGCACTTGCGCCCAGGCACTCACGTGAGTTCCAGGCGCTGAGCGTTGGCCCCGATCCAGCATTTACAGGTGAAACGCAAGAGAATCTCTCTGTCCCTCTCTCTCTTGCCCTGTCTCTGCCTTTCAAATAAATAAACAGAATTTTTAAAAAAACATCAAGAATATCGTATGTTAAGAAATTCACAAGTCTCCACACTTGTTTCCGACACAAGGCACTGAAATCTAATTACTTCTGTTACATTTAATGGTGTTCCTAGAGCCCAAGGCCATGTCTCCCGCTCAGAGTCCTTCAGGGTGGCCCAGCTCCGGCCACGCCCAGGCAGGCCCGGTGGACGAGTCCCAGCTGAGTGTCCCTGCGCCGTTCACAAGCTCCGGTGCTTCCTGTTTCGCACCTGGAAGCTTCTCACAGTGCCGATTCCCTAGGAGATTCAGATCCCTGAGCCCCTGGGAAGCACCTGGGCAAGGCTGGGCACACAGAGAGCCGCTGCCCCCGGGCAGCGGGCAGCAGGAGCCAGGCCCACGACGGGGAGCTCTGCCAAGCCCACCGCAGCCCACGCCGTGTCCCGCCTGACCCAGGCATCTGCAGGACTGGGGTGGGCCTCTCTCCCAGGAAGACACGAAGTGGCCAGCAACCACCACTGACCAGTAGGAAGTGCGAATGCAAACCACAGGAAGACCCCACTCCACCCCCGCCAGGAGGGCTGGGGTCAAAACCACAGATGTGCTGAGCATCGCGAGGGGGTGGAGAAGCGGGAAGTGGGACGGCAGAATGGCACAGCCACCAAGAAAGTTCCTCAGAAAAAACAAGCCACGCGTATGACCCAGCAAGCGCGCTCCTGCGTGGTGATCCGAAAGAACCGGACTCAGGACCCCAAAGCGCTGTTCTGTGTTACTTCCACTGCTTCGTGGTGGCACCATTCCCAGGAGCCACACTGTGGGAACAACCTCTACGCCGCGGACAGAGCGCAGGAACAAGGGGCAGTGTCTGCACTCACAGGATCACTCAGCAGACAGAGGGGCGAAGTCCTGTCCGTGCAGCTGAGGACATCGCGCCCAGTGCACGCCGCCAGCCACGGAAGGACTCGCGCTGGGACCTGAAGGAGTGACCCTCAGGCCACACGGCGGAATGTGCTGCCGGGCTCAGGGAGCGGCCGAGGGAGGCCGCCACACCCTAGGTTTGAGGTTTCGGTTACGCAAGATGGCTGAGTGACACAGCCCAGCTGCACGACTGCGCCTGCCATTCACAACACAGCGCTGGACACTCTGAGCCTGGAGTTGTCCACAGCGAGGCGGGCAGGGAATGCACTCAGGTGACGACACGGAGGAGCACACGTGTCAAAACCGGCACACGACATGGACCTGCTCTGGAAGGAAGAGGCACAGCCCCACCGAGTCGTCCGAGACACGAGAGGAAAAGGACCACAAGGAAAAGACTCCAGGGCACGCGAGAGAATTCAGAGCTTGGAGGGAGCCGGCCACGACCGCTCACCAGCACAGTCCACGCTGCTCTCTGCCCACGCAGAGGACAGTGCACCCAGACAGACGCTGGCCATGGGCAGGGAGCGTTGCTGTCTGGCCTCACAGGAGGAGTCTGCACACGGGCTCACCAGCTGTGGCTGCTCGGCTTCCTCTGGGTGCCCTCTCCTTTGTCCCTGGCAAGCATGGGGGCTGCTCCCCTCTTCACCAGGAGGCTGCTGTGCTGTCCCCAGTCTGGGTGGCAGGGTCTGCTGGCTTTAACTGTACTGTGTGAATCACATGTGGCAGAAGACGTGGGGCATGAAGAGAAGGAGCAGCCGCATTTTCAGGGAAATAAGTCAAACATTTACAGAGAGCAAAGGGGAGCTGCTGACCTCTTCACTGTGGGCAGCAGTGAAGGTCTGGCCATCAACATCCTCGTCAATTCTTAGTGGACTCGGAGCACACGAGACTGAGGCCCAGCCCACGGGTCCAGGGTGTGCCCTACGCTGGAAGGACTGAGCCCTTTAAACGAGCTCACAGTTCCTCAAGTGATCACTCATCCCGGTCAGGCTGGATCGATGGTTCCTCCTCTTCTGAGGGGCCCTGGCATCCCTGCTGTCCCTTGTGGAGCCCAGTACCACAGTGGAACCACGCCGGGTGTGAGGAACTGGTGCCAGGTGCCCCAGCTCGAAATCCGTGGCCTCATCCACACCCTCACCACTCCATCACTCACTGCAGAGATGCCAAGGCCACAGTGCACCTGCCCGTCAGCTCTCCTCCACGGACCCCAGGAGGGAGGTCATCTGAACTGGGAGCAGACTACTGAGAACACTCACGCTCAGGACAGAGACCAGTCCAGGGTCCAGACAGTAACAAAATGCCGGTGGACTGTGGTCCGCGATCCAAACCTCAAATGGGCAGGATGCACAGTCTGGTGTCCTCACCCCACATCCTGCGCCGTGCAGGGCAGCCGGTGGCCGGGTCCCAGTTCTTCCCAGGTCTGCAGAACAGAGGAGGACCCCACAGGGCGTGATGCACGGTCACCCCCTGGGCGCCTTCTCCCAGGACGCGCACGACCCAACAACAGCCCAAAGGCCAAATGACGCGCACCTGGAAAGCGCCCCCAGAACACCACGCTGCACGCTGTGTGCTTTCTTAGTTTGTCCCAGCTTGTCACAGACACATCACCAACCCCCGTTCACCAAACAGCGTCCCGACACCACTGACAGGGCCTGTGGCCGCCTCACCTCCTGCACCTGCCCTGCTCTTAGGCCGCAAAGGGCCTGGTGGTGACCAGGCCGCCCCCCTGCAGCGTATTTATGCTGGCTGCACACAGCTGGCAGGAAAACCCAGATTAAAAACAAGCCCTAAGTTTTGCCAAATACATCAACTAATTTTACCTGCTTGAAAATAGTTAAGTTGCCTAAATAGCTCGGGGTCAGATACAAGTCCCAAAATACCCCCTTCAGTGGCTCTGCGATGCCCACACCTCAGGGCACCCATTTAGGTGTTTATCTTTAAGTGTGTCGCTGACCGGCCCCAGTTCCTGCACCTGACACTCTCGCCTCTGGAGACGCCGACTGCACCAGCCGTGGGGCCTCCACCGCCAGAGAGGTGCAAGCCCCCTCATTACTTCTCGGCTGTCTTCACTGACCCTTCACCCTCACCTGTCACACGATGTCATGGCCTCTGGTGCCATGCCCTCTCTGACACCTGCCCATGCCTCTTCTCCCTGGCAGGACCTGCATCCATCCGTCACTCACTGCACCCCAACACACACACACACACACACACACACACACGGACTTGAAACCACGCCCCTACGTCCCCATTCCTGCCACTCTGCCCTGCTCTCGCTGGCTCCCAGGCAGCGTTCATGGTCCCTTCTCGCCCCCAAGTCCGAGAGTCGGCCCAGGCCTGCTGACGGCACCAGGCACCACGTAAGAGCCCCCACCAGGCCGGCGCCGT